CAATAAGAAGGGTTGAAAATATACCCTCGGCGAAATCACAAGCAATTTTCTTTAATTTAACTCATGTTGAAGGATTTTTTCAGTATTTATATCAATTTTTAATCGTACTTTGAATCTGTTCTCTTAATTTTAGATCATTGTTAAGTTCATGAGCACAAAAAAGTTTTTATTTTATTAAAATATTTACCAGAAAACTTGTATCACTGAAATCTGCACATTTTTTTAGAATGACCCAGTTATTAAACTTAAAAGCGTAAATCTCTATGGACCGCCATCTCAGTCAAAATTTCCTTGCAGTGACGCTATATTTTCTATAATACACTGTATCACGGATGTCACTGTCAGAGGGTAAAGTCCCATTAATTCTCTTCTGATTACGCACAAATAGTCAACCATAGCTTATCCTAAAATGTAATGATTAAACACCGATTCCTTTGTTTGTTGTGAACATTTTAACAAATTTTGTCAAAAGAATTTATTAACACAAGTTCTACAAACTTCGGTAGTCCTAAATTCCTCACCTCCCTATTCTTTACAATTACTGCAGTTGTTTTTATGAAAATGCTATACAATTATTTATGTTGTTTTCATTCAATACAATGATTTAGCCATCTGAGGTGTACATTATTCAGCGAGCCCGAAAATTTTGAAAGGAAGGAAAATTATCAGGGGAAAATGACAGGCGAAAAACGTAAAAATTGTTGTTTAGTAAAAGTGTTGGAAGGGGCCTAGCTGCAATAATGTAGCCCTCTCCGATTTTTTTATCTGTTATTTCCTCTCCCAAAAAAAAAAAAAAAAAAAAAAAAAAAAAAAGGAGAGGGCTACATTATTGCAGCTAGAAGGGGCCCTGCATCCCCTCTAACCACCCTCACCCGAAAATATATATTCGCTTAGGTTTTGTTCACATGAGAAAATGTCATAGCCGTTTAAATGGAATTCCCCGATCTATTTTTATATCAATGTAGGAGACATAAATTCTAGTATTTACACGGAACGTCATGTGCAGGTAAATATACAGTGTTTCTACCACATGGTTGGATCTCAGCCAGTCAGAGAGATGGGAATTATTCAATCCTGTAATAATAAGTGCTATGTCTCAATATTTTGGGGTTTCTAATCCACATTTACCGGGAATAACACGGGAAACTGAATTGATGTCACTATGCACAGAGCAATATTTTAGAAATCGTAATACCGAGAATTATGGAATCGCAAATTGCAATGGAGAAAAGAAATACGTACTTCTTATCAAACAAAGCCAAAAAGTATTACGTGACTTCGGGAAACATCAAAGGGGCTAATCAATGTCTATTTAACCCGGAGCCTGTTCAAAACAAGTTATCCTCATTAATTACATTTATTTACTTTTCCTTAGGTAGATATAATGTACAAAAGCAATGAATGCTACGTGAATGTTATTTCAAATATGAGTACTATGACGACAACCATGCAAGAGAGTTTATTACGTCAGGTCATAGACTTTGACGCGAACACGTACATTGCAGAGGAGGGCGAAATGAAATACACATCATCATATAGCCTTCAGAGCACAGGCGCTTGACGTTAAATTTTTAACCTTTCTCATTATGAATAAAAAAATTCCCTTCTATAATTATATTTTAGTAGGGAATTTTTAATTTATAATCAGAAAGGCTAAAAACGTCAGGCGCCTTGCTTCAGAGGCATTAAAGGGACAACTAAGTGATTCGGGGGAGGGGGGGGGCAAACTCTTTCGAGTCGGATTATTTATTTTTTTATGTCGGTGAAGGACAATATCTATTTCCAAACATCACATTAAAGTCAACAAAGGTACTCTTATTCGTGGCGGTAGTGGGTTAGAGACAGATTATTTATTCCCTGTCAAATCGAGGTCATATTATATACGATTCGAATTTCCTCTGTTTTTTTTATTTAATTTAGCTCATGATTTACATTGACCACAGAAAATATTGAAAAATCCTCCATGAATGTCTATTTCCCATTAAATGTTTATGGCTAAGGACCAAAAACAGTCACATAAGCACTGTTTATAAGGCATCTGGAGAAAAAAAATTAATTCGAATTTCCTCTGTTTTAGCATGGTATAATATTGAACATGACGCGTTTATTTATGATAAATAATAATTAAATCTTCTAGATTTTTGTTCCTGTATATTTCTTTCTTATATTAATTCAAAAACTGCTCACCAATATAAGAAATCAGTTTTCTACATATCAATTTTCGCTTTTTCCTCTTTTTTCCAACAAAATATTAGATAATTCCTACCTAAATTTCAAAAAATTGCCTCGATGGAATTTTTCCGATTTTTCATATTACATTGTCTACATGTTGAACTTTCATAAAATACTAAAGAAAATTCTGTTGCAATTAGTTTAGGGTTTTACAAATTTTTTGCTATTTTGACTGGACTACTTTGTTCATCCGATAATTTGACATTATGTTGTAAAAAGATATTTTCACACAAAAATGTGTCATTATTATTATTATCCTTTTTACTTTTGTACAAGTTTGAGAAAAAAGACCTTTGTTCATCCAGAATGGCAGACTGGTCTGCAATATGATTACCATCTGAGTTAATTAATTCAGATATTGTTTTATTTACATAGTTTCTTCTTTCTAATTTACAAAAGTATTCAGAATTTTTTTCACCCATTTCATACCACGTAGCTTTTGAGCGTAACATTAAACCCTCTATAAAGTTAGACCTAGAATTTTGTAAAGTTTGTTTTTTTTCTTCAAGTATCAAAATATCTTCTTCTTTTCCTGAAATATTGACTTTTTCTTCCAAATCTAAGATTTCTTTTTCTAATTTTTTCCTCTCTAGTTTTTGTTTTTTGGACCTTATGGAAGAATATTTTATTGTTAAGGATCTGATTTTCATTTTCAAGACTTCCCAGAAAAATTGATTACTTATACTAAATTGAATACTCTCCCTTTGTTCAATATCTCCTGATATCATATATTCTTTAATTGTTTCTGAAATACATTGCTTTACTTTTTCTATAAACTCCTTTTCATGTAATAATTGACAATTAAATTTCCAATAACCTCTTCCTCTATTACTGTCATTTGTTTTGAATTTTAATACAATTGCTGAATGATCTGTTCTATACCCTGGGATTATTTTGGTATCTAATACTCTACTAAAAATACAATCAGAAACAAGAAAATAGTCAATTCTACTTTGAATAACTGGATTTGATCTTCTCCATGTGTATTGTCTAACTTCTTCATTCCAAATTCTCCATGGATCATAAATTTCAAGTTCGCTCTTTATATTCTTTATTGCTTCATTTGCCTTTGGATTATTAAGATTTTTAACATTGAAAGTGTCAAGTTCTTTATTTTGGACCACATTCCAATCCCCACACATGAGGATTGACATGTTTTCTAATTTTGTAATTTCTTCATAAATATTTTGAAAAAATTCTGGATTATCATTATTTGGACCATACAAATTTACCAAAGTAAATCTCAAATTATTTGCTGAAATATCCATTATGATATATCTACCTGAAGAGTCACATTTTACTGAATGGATATCTAATTCAAAGTTATTTTTGAAAAGTATTGCGACACCAGCTGAGCTGCTTGTATAACTACTAAAATAGGATTTGTAGCCCCACTCTGATTCCCATAACCTTCTCATGAGTACTATGTGTTTCTTGAAAACAAACAATAGAGATATTTTTTTTTCTAACCCAATTAAACACATCTCGACGTTTTTGGCTGTTAGAAGAGAAACCTCTTACTTTCATACTCAATATACCTAACATTTCTACTTTGTTGGTCATTTTAGTTGTCACAGCACATGTCATAAAAAGTTTTCATTCTTATTAAACATTCTTTTTCTTACCCAGTTAAATATATCCCTACGTTTTTGACAATTCGATGAAAATCCTCTAACATTCATACTTAAAATATTTATGCTCACAACCTTTGACATGTGTAACCAGTTAGTCCCTACATTCTAAATAAAAAAAAATGATATATTTGAAAGACATTGAGAACTCAGATAAACTATTATTCTGATTAATTACATCTATTAATGGAAAGTGCACACACAAACATATACACACACTCAAACATAGAAAGCTACAAGAAGATAATAACTTTTTACATGTTTTAGGCATACCTCGCCTTTAGGCAAATGTCACCCTTGTCCTCCGAGCTCCTCCTGTTTGTGGACCATTCAAATAATATATTTATCTTCCAAGAAGTTTTTTGTCAATATCATCTGTCACATCCATCCTGTGTTGATTCCCCTGTAAGTCTAACACATATATATGTCCATTATAATACCACGCACTATCCACGAAATGCTGTCTCTCTTCTGCCCTCAGTTTTCTCAGCAGCTGCGCGTTCATGTTGGTTATGTGATCCAGCATTATAAAGTCCTCTTTTAGCTGTTCTCTCTTTACAATCACTGATCTCCTCACCTCACTACTTATGAATTTTACAATGACAGGTCTTGGGTGATTCTTGTCATTCGTAGGAATTCTGTGGATTGCCAGAATGTCTCTTGGATCCAAAGTGACTCCTCCCTTTTCTGCCACCAGCGCACATAACTCCTCCTTTAACTTCTGTCCCTTTCGTTCTGGCCAATTCAAAATTTTGATGTTATTTTTCATGGAGTATTGTTGGTTCATATTTGCCATACTGATGGCTGTACTGGCTACTCCATTTATTTCTTTCATCTGTTTTTCCAGGGTAGTGATCCTGTTTTTCAACTGAGAAACATTATCCATGTTAGTGTCATTATCCATCATTAAGCTGTCAACCTTGTCAGAGAGCTGTTTTCTCATCTTAGAGAGTTCCTGTCCATGGCGATTCTTATTTTCTTCCAGATCCTGACTCATCTCTGTTTTAAGTTCCTTTAGCATCTCCTCCTTGATTTCCTCTTTGATCTCCTCCTTCAGCTCTTCCTTCATCTCCTTCTTTAGCTCCTCCTTTACCTCCACAATAGCACTTTTGACAAGATCTTTTATGTCATCCTTGGTCACTTGTTTTTAAGGGTTTCTTGCATAGAGGTAAGAGTACATTTGATGTTCTCCATTTCTGAATGATCATCCTCTCCTGCTGATGAAATTCTTCTCTGTTTTGTGGCTGGCTTTGTAGACACTATTTGGCCTTTGACCTCAGCTGGGACTGATGACAGTGACAATGAAGATCTGCTTTTGTCCATTGTTTGTTTGGTGTTTGATCTCCCTGCTTTTGTGTCCTTTATTTCCTTTGTGGCCATTTTAATGCTCCAGTAAAAACAGGTGTACAGGTGAACACACACAGGTAGAACACAGGTAGACCAGGTTAACACCAGCACTGAGATGAATACTACTCAAAAACTACTCAGGACCTTTTTTCAATTTTGAAAAAAGGTAAAGCAAACACTTATTTCACTATTTTTGGCAATTATTTTATCCTCTTGTCTAACAAAAGCAAGTCAGAAACATCTGTGACAATTTTCACATCATAAATATCACTGAAAATATCTTAATTCCACAAAAACCAGGAGAGCTCTGAAACACACCTCCTCACTCAATAAGCATGACCTTGACCTCTATCTACCTCCTGATATCATATAATTTGTACACGATGCAAAGTGGTTAAAATCGATGCTGTAGTAAATTTTTAGCTGAAATAGCAAATCACCTTATTTTTGGAATTTTTAAGAATTGTTGATTTTGAATGATGTCATTATAGTGAAGTTAAGTTTTCATGTACAAATGATGCTCCGTCCCCATAAATGTGTTGCTTAACTATAGTTTTAATAAATTCCAAACAAAATAAGTTTGTAAATACGCTTTTATTATATTTCGGAATAAATTTCTCAAACACCGTACGGGTCACGATATCATACAATAAATTTTAGAAAAAAAATAATTAAAATCGTTTTTTACAAATAAATTTTTAGAAGGAAATCAATTTTACTATGAAGAAAAACCTATGCACAATTTCAAGCTTAAAGAATTTTGTTTTAATTTCTTAATAGGATCCAAACTTTTAAAATTATATTAGACAGTTTCGCAAATAAATGTTTTCTGGTTGCCACATTTCTGATCGACCCAATTACCATCTCTACAAATAACGGCACAATCTGCGTCATTTACGTTATCAGGCTGTCTTGGGTACCAGTTTTGATAGGTTATATTGGTGTGGTAATTCCAGGTGAAAACCCCCTCAATATCGCCATCTGTTCCACCAATCCAGCAAGAGCAGCAGGCAGACCGTTTAGGGCATTCCTCTGTAAGTAACATCTTATATTAAACACCATTAGAATTCTTATATACAACGCGTTATCTGATTGGTTCTAGAATAACACGTGATCAGGTCGTAAAACTTAAATGACAAAAAAAAAACAACGTCTCAGCAAACAATTATTGAGAATAAAGGGTTGATACTTTAAAGGATAAGGGTAAGCTTAGGATTTTTATTTAAAGTGGACGTTGGTTAAAAGAAAATTGGCTTGAAAGATCTTTGTTCTATATCGATATAATGCTATCAAAAAATAGAGTTGAATTAAAACTCAGAGAGAAAATACACGTTGGTATTGCAGAAATACGGCCACGATTTTGATGATGAAAACGATTTGATATCAAAACAAAACATGTATCAATACAAAATTGTCGATACCGATGACAAAAACAATATTTTTTTTTTACTTTATGTTAAACACAAATATCTACTTTTCAAACAAAACCCTCAAAACTTATGGAATTAACAAATACCTACATTTGAACATGTGTGATGGGAATCAATAAGATACAAGATACAAGATTTTATTAATCCAATTTGGGCCCCCGGAGGAGCAAAAAATATCGATGATGGCGTTAGCCATATCTTTAAAACAATCATTATTATATATATAAACGATATCATCGAAATTAACAGTAACATAAATTTTAATTACAGAAAGTATTCATAAATAAAATGTTTCGATATAAGGATACAGACATCGAATCTTATACATGACTATTTAATTCTTGCGAATATAAACATACACACATTGAAAAGGCATATATATCATATGGATGAAGATATACACTTTTATAAAACCACATTCACCTTTAAGCAAATTAGACTACACAGCAAAGCACTCCATGTATACAATCCAGCAAAAAAATCTAAGCTATACAAACATTGTTATTTGAGATATTGCAAAACAATCTGATTATATAAACATACCGATTGTCACAATGTTCAGTTCACATATTTCAATATGTCATCTTCGTATGTTTTTTTTTCAAATGCATTAAGTTCCAAATTTTAAATAATAATTAAATATAATAATAATCAAATAATAATTATAATAATCAATAATTATAATAATCAAACAACTTTACCTGTATTCCAAGGAGGAAGAAACAGATGCATTAACAGTCAGGATACTTGTATTGTTTAACACATTCAATATTGTTGTTTCCGTAGCCCATGTATTTTCTGTGAGAGAATCTATCTCTACAAGATGGGCGTCATTGTTTTCACATTCAACCTTAAATAAAATTAAACCTATTTTTTTTTTTCTTTTTCTGAAAGTTCTTTTGCATCCTACATGCATTTTGAGAGGTTTTTGATTATATTTGTTTATGTTGTGTAAAGAATAAGGACATAGAGTGATGGGAATCAATATAAGAATTATGTTCATAAATTAAATAAATGAAATTCACAGGTGTTAATCAATGTTATTAGGTACACATGTACATGTACGTCAATGCGTGATAATTATCATTTTGGTTACTTCCATGGAATTAACATAAATTAACGATAATTTAGGAAGCACACCAGTCTTCCAAATATTTTGTTCAACTATTAGAATGTGCTTTTTATTTTGTTCACATCTTAACAAAATGCAAAATTCATCAGATTATAAAACAAATTCTATAACGTCGTTCTTCAAATGTACACTGAAATCATATTATTAATTTTATTTTTTATAGTATTGCAATGTTATTTTTTTGTATTTACTTTTTTATTTTTATAGAAACATTATAAAAACTAACAAGCTAGTTCCGTCCGCTTACATGTAAGGAAGAAAAATATCAGTGCAGGTCTAGGAGTGGTCGAGAAAGATGGGTGGGGCGTTATGGTATGGAATTTTAAGGCCAAAATTCATTTAAAAGTTTCTTGAAATATTGCGCGGAAATTAAAGTTTAACAAACGAACAGAGATAGAGAGAGAGAGGTGTTGTAAGAATTCACTCCCTTGATTCTTGACCTCAAAAAGACCATAGGGAAGTGTGGTATAAATTTCAATGCAAATTTAAAAGGTCAAAAACTTCTCAGGATATGACATGGAAACGAAAGTATTTACAGACGGAATTTTGAATTAATGACCTTGACTTTTGACTTCAAAATCAAAAGAAGTCATCCGAAAGCCATAGGGGGTTGTGTAAAATTTATTATTAAAGTTCAAAAACTTCTTGCGATATCGTGCGGAAACGAAAGTGTTATAGACAGGCAGCTAGACGGACGGACGGACATTAAATAATATAACATTTTTAGATAAGTTTTATTATTATGTCACCAATGTAATAAGTTTCGCTATAAACCCCAAAAATTGCTGAATCACACCGGAAACAGTTATGTCCCCCCGACAGAAGCAGTTATGTCACCTTCTCGATCACGTTCACGTGTTTTAGTTCGGGTTCGAGATTTTATGACGTCGGTTGCTAAGCAAATGTAAACAACGGAGTGTTATTTTTAACGTCGAGAAAGCATTTTTGGATTATTTGTGTAAATTTCAACGATTTTAAATGATTTAAATTTTGATATGTCATACAATATATAGCACATGGCTTCTCAGCGACTAGACCGGAATATTTGCCCTTTGGCGACAGAAAAGGCCTGCTCCAGAGTGTTATGTCACCCTCTGTCTTCGGCATCGGGTGCCATACTACTGCAGTGCTTTCTTGTCATCTCGGGGCAAATGTTCTGGTATGTCACCCTCGAAGCCATATGACATATGTATAATATCCTTTTCCAAGTGAAAGCAAGGTACGGAAAAGAAATTAAAAGTGCAATAATTTTGTGGATAAATACCTAAATGGATGAATGTTGAATGCTAGGGCAACAAAGCACCTTAAGAAAAGCATATTCTTTTTTGTTGGTTTTTACCTAACACTGTTAAGCAATATCTCTCAGCATGAAAACTTCTTACATTGTTTCATACTTTAAAAGTACACATGTTTTTTTAGAATTGAATTAAAATCTTAAATCTATAAACAATTTACCTTCGCTTTGTCCCAGGTAACTGTAGTGCTGCCGAAGAAATAGCAATGGTTTTGAAAGGGGACCCAATTAAGAGGACACGCTATAAGAAAAATAGTATTAAAAAAAAAGAAATTGTAATCTTTTGGAAACTATTTTTATAATTTTTCTTTTCTTGGGGAAGAGAATTGCGGTGTTTTTAATTACGAATGTCATTTTTTTGGGGACGACACATGACCTGGTCTTCTGACTAACATGTAATTACATATTAGGTATTTGCTGATTCTGCATACGTTTGATTTGTGCTTAACGTTCTTCGATATTCTGACAACTGTTGGTGGCATAATGGCTATACATTTTTTTCATTAATTTAACAAGACATTTTTCAGCGAGATATACTGAAATTGTTTGTTTTTTAACATGATTAATATTCGACAGGATTTTTTATAATCATATTTAATGCATTATAGAGTGATTTTTATATAAAAAGTTAAGGTACACATTCTAAGCTTTGAATATTACTAATGCAATTAAACCTTATCTAATCTTATCTTAATTCGCAAACTACAAGTAATTTTGTGTCGAAAAAGACAATGAGCGGTTTAGAAAATGCACAAAAACTGGAAAAATGATAATGGAAATAAAAAGAAAGGTTTAAGTCATATTAAACGAAAATATACAGGATCCGTATAAAAAGAGGTTCACTAAACTTCAGTGTAATTTTCAGTTTTGAGACTTCGCAATTTTGATTTACATGAGATGCCTCTGATACAAAAATGTGGTTGTCTATTTTTATGCGCCCGGATTGATAGATCCGAGGCGTGTATTGTTTTTGTCCTGTCTGTCTGTCTGTCTGTCTCTCCGTTGAAAACTTTAACCTTCGCCATAACTTTTGAACTTTGAGATATAGAGACTTCATATTTGAAGTACTGCACTAATAAAGTTCTTTCAAAAGACACCAAGGTCAATAACCTTGACTGTGACCTCGACTGTGACCTACATGCTAAAATAGTTTTTGAACTTTTGCCATAACGTTCGAACCATAGGAGATAGAGACGTCATATTTGGTATGCATATTTCACTATTTAGCTTATACAAATGACACCGAAGTCATTGACTTTGTGACCTTGACTGTGACCTTAATGCTAAAAAACTTTTGTAACTTTTGAATCATAGGAGATACAGACTTCATATTTGGTATGCATACTCCACTGATAACGTTCTTTCAAATAACATTAAGACTAATGACCTTGTGACCTTGAATATGACCTATATGCTTTATGAATATAAAGCTTCAAAACTCATATTTAATATTTAATACGGATCTGTTATGATTTTGTTTAACCATTTTCTTTCTTAAAGTTAGCTTCTGAAAAGTGTTGCAATTTCATTTCTTTTACAAAGTACAACCAGTTATGATACAAATGTATGAATAGCTACATGTAATGATTTATCATATCTACATTTTTTTACAAACATTTGGATAGACATACATTTTAATCAAGAGTTCATATGCCTACAAGGAGTAATAAGAAAAAAAAATTCTTGTCTAAGTCATGTTAAAATTTTCATTATTTTTGAACATATAGAAGCTTCATAAAATGCACTCATGGTTGTAAAAAGAAAATCGAACTTTCAGAAACTCACCATTATTTTGAAACCAGAATTCCCAACCAACAGAAATACTACCAAAGTCTACCATTCTATCGGTTAATTGACACTTCATTAGCTTACAGGACTGCAGTTGTCCGTTGTATAGTACTGCTGCACAGTTGGACTTCATTGTCAAACATTTTGAGGCACATCCAAGGCGACCTATTTTTTCAAATGTGGTAATGTAATACATTGTGTGCAAGGGTAAAAGATTGTCGAACGAGGAATTCCTTGTCATTACCATTCCATATGATTGAACAAATGAAAATTTGGAAACGCTGGAAAAAAGGCTGATGACCACATAAAGTTTCCACATTCTAACATGTAAGGTTCTAGTTGCCTCGTTGTAACAATAAAACGCACTGCAGAAAAAAAGTAAAAGAAAAGTAACAGTTGCTTGTCACTTGTGAAAATAATTGGATATTTTCTAATGAAGTGCAATTATTAATTTTAAGTATATTTATGACCAATGACTGGCATTGTTCCTTTGCAATGAGATATACTCTACATTTTATGTTTTGATTTCCTTTCGTATTTCTTTTCTTCTAACAATAAGCTGCTCATCAGTCTTGCGATAAAGGATAACATGCTGTCAATTCAATACAAGGTTTTAATGTTCATGCATTACTTCCCTTTATTATTTGACAGGAAGTCGTCTTGAATTTAATCCTTTTCTTATCGGAAATGAGTTCAATATCGTTATGTTTTTTTTATATTATATTATTATTATTGTTTGTGTAATCCATGATGGCATCTGCTTATACTCGCATGAACATTTCTTAAATAAGTCGCTCAATCATAAATATGTTGATATTCAATAATTTAAAACTTGAATTCACGTCTGAGAAATTTTGCAGGAACTACATCTTTTAAGAGTCATTGATACTCTGATAAGAGAGATAACTCTTAATGACATAAATGTATATTATTCCTTTATAGATTTGCCAAGTTGAAGTGTCTTTTTCGTCACATTTTGCCCCGCAAGCTATGCTATAATTGTCAGTATTCTGCTCATAAAATACATTTCTCTTGGAAAATCATTAAGGTTCAAGCAACATTCTATATGAGTGAGCAGAGGGTTTATGAACCTTAAATATTTATATTATATGATAATTTTTATATTTTCTCCTCAAGAAAATGGATCATCTCTTTTATACATGCATGTGGATGCATGACTTGCTATGACCTTGAATAACAAATTAACAGCTAAACCTAGAACAAAGTTCACAAAGGTGATAACCATTTCTTTCACATTTGTTATATAGTTATATATAGTTATAGTTGTATAGATATAGTCTGTCAACGGCCGGTTCGATAATTAACACTCAAATAGAGACATCACTAAATAAAGTCTTTTACTTGGCTATCCTGGCAGTTCAGCAGTAAGGTCTGTTTATCGTTTTAACACCTACTGTGACACAGGACATCTGTTCACAATTGTCTATACAATATGTGTTCAAAAATACCAGACCGAAAATTACTGTTTGAAAAATAGTTTAATATCTTTACAAAAAAAAATTAATAAAACCTTTAAAATATTTTTTGTGTGTGTATTTTATCACATATCATACAGAGAAGGCATACATCTCTTTTCCATGTCGGTTATAGAATTAGTTCTAGGACATTTGTTATCCCTCATACTCACAGCGACAAGGCATTAAGTACTGTTACAGTTTATTTCAATAATTTGAAGTGTTTCATACCCCTACATTTTAAGAAAATAATTTAAAACGGAATAATCATATATTCTTACACTTTGATTTGTTGATAACTTTTGATTTCCGAAGATTTTATGATCGTGAGCTTACTTTTGAATCAACCTCCATACATTGTATAGAAGTGCAACAAATTTCAAAACATGAATTATTTTCTATAAGTTTAAGGAATAGTTTTTTGCTTGTCAGTATACAATTTATTCTGTGGGTTGACCAAATATGCATTATGTTCTTTTATGGATAGATTATCAATGTTTATATCTACAAATTAAGAACAAATCGGTTAATACATATATTACATTTATTGATAATTAAAAGTGTATCAAGCATATTTTACAATTACAGTAAAAAAGAAAAATACATGTACAGTAAATAAAGAAAACAAAACAAAGATGTGTATAAAGTAAACGTAAAAAGTCAAATACAAGGAACAACCATAGAAAAAAGGCATCGGATAAAATTTCCTGAGTATTTTGCAAGCCACAAAACGATCTTTGAGCAAATAACATGAGGTTTCAAAAACTGATAGAAAAAAATGAAAGACATCAAACAATCAGTGCTCTTTCTCTTCATTTAGTTTATAAAATTTAATTTCTCATGAAAAAAAACGAATATAACAACTGTAATGATAAATATTTACCCTGTTTATCATCATGTCTAAATTTAGTAATACCAGTTTATAGAGAACACCCTTAAAGCAAGGAACTGTTTTTGTCCCTGTATACATAATCCACTTTATCGGGAAACAAACCAGGGTGAAAAGCAAGAAAAACTACCAAAAAAAAAAAGCAGAGTATAACAATAGGCACAAAACTGCAGATCTTATTCAAAGATAACGTTGAGAATTTTGTTGTTCAAAAATATACATATAGAGGTATAATTATTCTTTATCGCAGGAATACTTCTGACTTCTAATGACATGTATCCTGCCAAGGCGCTTTCGATCAAAATGTAATTAAATCACAGTAATTAAAAAAAATACTAATAAAAGGTTGAGTTCTTACAAAAACAGTCTAAGAATACTTATAAATAAATTGACACTTACACAATTTACATTCATCTTCTGTACCTTTTAGTATGATATAGTTAAAAATTTATTTAACTGCTCTTTTATTGAATAAATAAATTTAAAACACTTATACAATTTACATTTATGTTCGTTTCGGCTACAATTAGAAAAAAAATATTGACTTTAGTAAAATATCTTTTATCCTTAATTACATGCACATTCTGTTAAAATTTATTTAATTGCTTTTTTATTGCAGGCAGAATAAATTGTTTTTTAACTTGCTTCTAATGAAATTTTTATTCAAGATCAAAAACGCGAAAACCATGTAAAATAAATCTGTGCATTTATTCAGCAGCCATGACTTTTCGTAGTGAGACTTGCGCTTGAAATTTTTTTGTCGATGTTTATAAATAATTGTGATGAATACGTAAATAAAATCATTCCATGTTTCATTTTTTTGTAAACACCGATATTTAAGCTTAAAATAAGGTAATTCCAAAGAAATCCGCTCCCGATAGATCCTTAATCTCATTGGCTGTCCCGAAATAAAATCTGTCAAGGTCAGTAAACATGGCGGATAAATTTAAGTTGTGATGTTGAGATACACGAGAAATACTGATATATGGATTGTTCTGTATATTTTTGGATCGATTTATGTCTGGGATAACTACATTTTGGAAGTCCAGGTAAGACATATAAATAAAATAGCCGTTTACTAACACTTTAAGCCGAAATTATCGCTCCCGCTCGCACCAAAGAATCCTTAAATACATGTGAAAAAAAATTATTACTATACCCAACTCCCATGATTTAAAAATAATATTTATAATCACGATTCAGTTAATACCCATCTTGAAATCGTCATCATATGATCGCCTTAAAGTTACAATATTTTTGAAAAGATTATGATAAATGTTGGATGATTTGAAGTGCAACACTAAGTAAATTTTATTCAATTTCGACACAATGTCTACAGCAAGTCTTTGTGACTTTCTTTGACTTGTAACGGGATGTCTTTAACATAGCCATAAGCTGTCACATATCCTGGTCATACGAAAAAAAAAGCAGCAGCATCAATTCATATTAACAGACGGACAGGTGCTTACAAATGTTCTATAATGCATAGGTTTAAAAATTGTTATTTTAAGGGGGAGAGGAGATCGCTTGTTTATTTTTGTAGCTTAATGGATACTGTAGATTCCTTATTAAAAGCTATAAATTAATTTCCACGTAATTTCGCGGGAAAGTTCACTCTCGACATGATATCACTCGCTTTTATTTTTATGGTGCTGAAATCTTTGTAAAATCTGTTGATCAACCGTCTATATACGGATAACTATTCTCGCGATTTGACGTTACAGAGCCCCTTCGCGATAACAAGAACTCGCGGAAAATAAGGAATCTACAGAACCCAGTTGTGGCAATAGAAAATACAATTATAATTTTTTTACTATATCATTCAAGTTATACCTTTGTCTTGCTTTTTAGGAGCATCATTCGACTGCACATCTCCTCTGGATGTCGTTGGGCTTCCTTTACCTTTCTCCTGCTCTCTTCTCTTATTTTTAGGAGTATCATTTATTTCCACGGCTCCTCTGGATGGACAAGGACTTCCTACTCGGTTAATTGGACCTCCCTGTTTGATTGCAGTATTCTTAATTAGATTTCCCTTGGATTTATCTGAGAATACTTCTGGGGGTGTTTCTGTTTTATGCACCGCAGTTTCAGTGTTGTTGTCCTCTGATCTTTTATTATCTTCCATCTGCTCCTGATCCGCATCCCTTTCTTCAGTATTATTGTCCTTTTCCTCTTCCTTTTCATTTTCCTCTTCTTCCACGGGTTCAGGGCGTTTCAAAAGCTTGATAACTGTTGGATGTTTTCTCATGTGTTCTTTTAGAAAATCGTCCTCTCGGGTCAAGGTCACCAGTCCTGTTGACCTTGAACTGCCTCCACCTAAAGATAGTTTTGTGATACGGTTTCCTTTCGAATGGTTATCACAAAGCCATAGTATTTTTCCACTTGGCAAATGACATCTGCAATACAGGAAATTAAACGTAAATGAAAATCGATAAACAGAAATCTTTTGAAAATTGGCAACTCCTTTTTCCTAAGACATGCATTTTTTTTACATTTCTTTATGTATAGACATCTTATATTGACATACAATCAACACATTTTCCTCTTTTAATAATGTAGAAAGTCACACCTATGTTTATATCACTCAGACTCCATTTACAATTTAGTTTGGGAATAATTTCATAAAATACTGGACATTCCAGGCCACTTACAATAATTTTCATTCATATATAGACGACACATTTCCAAATGAGTTTCAATTTTGAACTTCATTCGGGACTCTCACCCAATCAGCAGTGAGGGATTTTTACTGACATGGAGGAATCTTCACACAAAATGTATAGTAATATTGCAATGCAGAAAACACACAAAGCATTATCACATAAAATTGCTCAACATCTGATGACTTTGCCTACCTATGAAGTTTCTGCATAAGATCCCGCTTTCCTGCATGATCGGCAACAAAATGATGAATGGCCTCATATGCCTTTCCAAAGTTGGATTCAACTAATCCTTTCTGTAAAAAGATTACTGTTAGTTTGTTATAATCAGTTCACTGTTTTTAAAGTCGAAATTCTTTTAATTTAATCTTTAAATCCTTAAAATATATAGCAGATTCTTTCACAAACATTTACATCTACATGAATGTAATAAAATAGAAAAAGATGCATTGTAAAAAAAAAAATCAAGAGTCATGAGCAAAGAACAACACTCTCATTCAGTTCACTTACGGCTGACTAAAATTCTATTAAAAAATTACTGACTGGCAAAGCTCTAGCATTCGATAACCTTTCAAGCTTACTTATTGACTGAAAAGTTTGGGTTTATACTGTGAGTGTGCATTTTTATTGTCATTTTGTCATCTCTTAATTTCAAAGATAAGCTAGGAACCTTGTCAATGTAACTACAAAAGGAGTCTCCAGTCTTCCCTCTTAGACAGTTGAGATTGACTGAGCTCTGTTTCAGGACAGCATACAGTCTAGAAAGATAGGGGGCCGCCTCTCTAATCACGTGATACACCTCTTCTGTTGACCTGGCACTCAGATTCAGTGATTTCTCCGATACATGCCATCCCTGAAATAAATTGAAAATAACGATTGAGATTTATTTATAAATCTACTTAATTTTCTGAAAAATAAGATATTTTCACTAATCTATTTTTCTTCGAATTTTCAAGTAAAATGATTTTAAAATGTTTGTATCCTATGTACAAATGCATAATACCGAAACTATCTCGCATTTCTTGAAGAAATCACGTAACAATATTTTTTGACCTGAAATTAAAATATTCTTTAATACATTTTAATAATTTTTTAAACTATTGTTTTACAAATCAATATTAAAGAGATATAAACCGTGATATTGTAAAATTTCATAGCTTTTTTTTTTTTTAATATAACATTTTTTTTTTGGTCGCAGGAAAAGACCCAATTAGTCTTGTTCTTCACGATATATGAGAATTTAATTATATAAAATATATTAAAAAAAAATCATTATTCAAGAAATCATATTTCAATATGTATGCATGAGCAAATGATTTTACCACAAAACATGAAAATATGACACAAGACCCAACCAAAGTACTTGCAACATGTGGTTTTTCAACCTACCTCTTCATGCTCACACATGACCTTGACACAGAATTCTTCCGCCTGCCAGTCTTCATCTTCGTCATCCAAAATCACGGCCTAAAGGAATTCAATTTTGCAATTGTAAGGATATGACATTCAATGCTGTATAAATGTGCATGACGTTGCATTATTTTTTACTAAAGTTTTTAGTCTGAAGGATTTTTATAATTTAGGTACAAATGTACTTTATACATGTTGATAAAGAGCGGGTTTTAACGGAAAAAATACCTTAAGCAAGATAATATAGTACAACTTGGTTTTTTATTGAATTCATATCTCAATTTATATAGTTGAATCCACAGTATCCAAAAGTTGTGAGCCTTGGCCGCCGTCTTTTGGGAAACCCCATAGAATCTTCAAAGTAGCCTTTGTAGTTTTCAGGTTTGTAACTTCGTTATTTGACCAAAAAAAACATTTGTGCATCTTTTACACTAATTGCCCCAGGAAAGGGCTACCCACATATTGAAAGAAAGAAAAGAAGTATAGTGACTGACTTAATTGAAGCACGCCCAAATGTAGGGTAGCATAATATGAACAGCCAAATATCATTTCTTTCTCTTTTGACCTTTTGCTTTACCTCACAAAGAGACACAACTTTTGCAAAGCGTGGATTAGACTATGGACATTTAACAAACCTTTCTGCGCTCTTTCCCAGTCCTTGGCCTTCTTGGAGTTCCCTGCTCTGTAGATTTTCCTGTGGATCCTAGATATCATCATGAATTCAAAGAGATGACGTTAATGTAAAGTTAATGTAATTAATCAAAATTTACTTGTAATTGACAGAATTCTAATCATTAAGTTTGATAAAAATTAGGAATGTGTCATACTTGTAATTCATGATAATTTTGGGGTTTTTTTTTGGTTCAATCATATATTTTGGGGTGTGAAAAAGACTATAATATTCTTTTTCTTATGTTTACACATTAGCATAATTCTCTTTAACCATCACTTTGAAAAGGGAAACAGTCTAGATGAATGCTAAAGGCAGGAGGGTTTAATTGATAAAATGCAAAGGAATATTTTTACTTACTTGTTTATATTATTTCGTTTACTCTCATAATTTTAGCTCTAAAAGGAAACTTTTTTATCTTACCAGCCTTGACAAAGTCAAACACCAATAATCTTGGCAGGACCTCAAAATTTAACTTTGTCGTTATCATGGTAACATGTCTTAGGAATTTCCTCTGTAGCAGTTCATATTCTTCCTAAAATTAAATAATTATATGTTTTTCTCTGATACTACAAAATTATTTGTTTTCTATTTTTTTTAAAAAGTATTTCCTGTTTGTTATAAACCGTGTGAAGGTACGGCAAGAATTCTTTCTTTCAACTTTTCTACAGCATAGCTATCGATGTTACAGAGTAAATATCTATTTCATTTTTTTAAATTGTTATCTGTACCGTATGGCATATAAAAATGATAATGAATCTTCCATACAAAGTAATTTTCATTTAACACATTAAAACTACATACAATAAAACTCGTTTAGAACGAACACAGATATTGCAATTCACGGATATGGCGAATTTTTCTTATATCCTCAAATATAATAATTTAATGAATTCCTTATATGGATTTAATGAATTACGGATATAGCAAAGTGATTTCTCTGGTCCCAGTGACTTCGTTATAACCGAGTTTTACTGTATTTGAAATAGATATACTTTTATTAAATCTGTTTAAGATTAACATTGAAAATCCTTTCACACTTACAATTCTCATTTCTCTCTTTCACAGCATTTAGCATACCTGATAAGAAAATTTGAGATCCTGGGCCTTTTTCTCCAGGTTTTTCTTTCTTTCTTTCTCCTGTTTCTGTTTTTCTTTAGCTTCGTCCTCTGTCTTGCATTTTGTAGCTAGAATCTCTTTTACTTTGGTCAGCAGTTTTTCTTTGTTATCTTCCAGTTGCATTGAGATCTCGGGTGCTTCTTCTTCTGTCTTTACCACGAAGATTCCAACCTTAAACACCAACAAGACAAAAATAAAAAAATATATATATATTGTTTTATATATTCTATAACAATACCTAAAACCCTTTGTGAAAACCTTAGCTTTTTTAAAAATATTGTTTATATATTTTGTCAGTTTCTTTGATGTTTTTATTTTTGTTGTTCAGAAATCTAAGCTGACGATAGCATAGTTACAAGGTGAAAGAAATTCACAGACGTTTGTGATCAATGTCAAACAAAAATGGCTTAATATATATAAATTTATCAACAAATGATCTCTTAATTGGCATTCATATCTTTTACTTCTGTTACTTTACTAGCATGCATGAAATAAATCTTTATTGATCAAAGCCTCACTTTTAAAGTAACCAAAAACAAAATGCATTACACCATATGTTCTTATTTCTCTAAATAAACATAACATAGCACCATTTTTCATCGATAAGATTTAAGACATTTTCCAACCTTTGATTTCCAGCGACTTCCGGTGCCGACAGGAACCACGATGACCGGAAGTTTGAGATTCAACACAGCATACTTCAGCTCCATCATACAGTTCTCAGAATCAGAGTACTGAAAGGAATAGTGGAAATTGACCTAACTTGCGACCGGTATACACGGAATGGAGGCCTAATAAGTCTAAAAACTCATGTTTTGCAGGCTGTACGGCTTTTATGTCGACACGTTTAAACAAAAGGTACAAAAAAAACAATATTTACATAAATTCTACATGATCTCAGCCATGAACTGTGCATTTAGTCGTTGTAATAGAGTAATAAATTACATTTAAAAATCACATGTGACTGATACAAATTCATGAACTAACCTCATCTGAAACACAACAGACAAGAAGCTTACAGCCCTGAAGTCCCATCGCAATGTCCATATACAATCCATACTACAAAAATAAAATAACATTATGCCAAATTTACTTCATTGACTGAGTATTTTCTTATTTTTTCTTATTAAATATACTGTATACAAAGAAAACTTTGGCCTCCATTTTGTTTTCGCCCCTTTCGTCCTACCGTTATTTTGGCGAATTCAAAACGGGGCAAATTCAAAGAATACAGTATAATCTCTTAACCAAAATATAACTGGGCGAATTTAAAACGAGAAAAAATTGCAAGTGTGAAAGTGCAAAAATAACACGGGGTGAAAAAACCATGCATACGGTATTTTTGGATTAAAACCTTCATTTTGACGATGTCCTGACAGGAAAGATACAGAACAGTTACATGTAGCATATCTATACATATTCTTGCTTCTTAACTTAACAAAGCGAAGACCTACAGTGCCAATTTTTTCAATATCAATCCAACAGGCCACTTTCTTGTCCGTTAAGTAATCTTTTATATCTCTTGGGTCCACTGCTCCTAGAGAACTCTTGTCTTTGATCTTGGTTCCCTTGTCAACAGCTTTCTTGGAGTTTTGCCAACAGTAGCTTATGAATACATCTGCCGGTCTCTGTTTGTCCTACAGTTTGAAAAAAAAAATCAAACATTTAATTGGATTTTTCTTCTTTGTGGGGTTTTTTCTCCTTATTTATTTTTTATATTTTTGCAAATTTGTTTCAACTTTTCCATGTACTCTGTAACGATTTCGATTTGGGAAATAAGTGTACGAAATATGTCTTGAAAATAAGCACATAATTAGTTTAATACATTTATCAAGAATACTTCTCAGTTTAATCTTTTATATCTTTTCACTGCATTGGTCACGAATGGTCATGTCCTTAGCTTTAATTTAATTATTTCACTTTTAACTTATTTCCCTTAATCCTTTCCATGTATGACAAAACTTATTCAAATCCAGTGATAAACAAACCTTCTCCATGGCAATCAATGTCTTTTCTACCATGTCCTTGAGATCAACAATCTTTGATTTATATCTATCTGGAGTACGTATCATGCACACAAACTGTAAAACATGTACATGTACATTATTCGCAAAATGTGATCAATGGCAGAGATATTGGTCATTAGCGTTTTTATGTATTGACTTAAGTAGCTAATTCCTATTTGAAGATCAGGATATTTTTTTCATTAATCATGAATTTGGCCTCATGGCATATTTTATTTTTAGTGTCTTTCAGGAAATCTGGTTTGTGTCTGCTAAATCTGGTTAAAATTGATGCAAATATATTATTTGACTTAAATTATATTGATTTTTTTCATTATTCAGAAAAAGAATATAATTTTTGGTAATTTATTGACATAAACAATATTCATTTCTCATGAGCTAGAAAATATTTATTTTATTTCAAATTCTCGCCTTTTTATTCTTACAAAGAGGGTATGCAACAGAAAAATATATTCAAAAATTTGTTAGCTCATTATTGATTACATACAACAAGACTTTCAAAAAAAGAAACTTACAGCATCCCCAATCTTCATTCCCAGATCTGTTTCTTGCCACACCATGCTGGGTCGTACCACCACAATGAGTACCTTCTTCCTAAGCTGATTTGTGATGTACAAGAACATGTTATGGCAAGTTTCGTCCTTCTCAAATTGGTCAGACATACAGCACACTACAACCTGAATAAATACAAGAATGGGCATGGAGTGCAACGCAACCTTCATCGTATCATTTTTCTTAAACCATATACAGCCTTAATTAAAAAAAATCATAAAGTATGTTAATCTTTTCAAGCGGATGTTTTTAATGTAGCATACAATGCAATATACTCTCCATAGAAATGGTTCATTTCTTAATTTTAAAAATATTTTTTTACACAAGAGAATGTAAAACAGAAAAAAATATCACCCATTTTTTTTTTCAAACAAAACTCCTGTTGGAGATCATTATCGTTTGAAATAGGGCAACGTTTATAAAGATCATGATAAATGGATGAGACGCACAATTGCATGCCTATCTAAATCGCAAAAATGTACAATACCTTTGAGTTCTTTAGCTGTAGTGTCATCTCACTGACTCGGTCTGGTGTCACACTCTCAGGCATCCAGCTACAATTTTCATAGATAATTAAAAAAAACATTTTTGCAATGTACATAATATTATCACGAAATTGCTAATACGTGTTAGTGAAGATTATAGAAAATTATGAATAAAGTAGACATTTTAAAAGAAGTTCATAGGAAAATAAATATGGTTAACATGTATACAACCAAAATTGATAAAATCATCTCTTTTTTATTTATCAATATCGCATTATAATCGGATTGCACTGATGTCAGATTTCCAAAGTTTTCACTGTATGTGCACTTACACACTGTAATTCCATGCACGTAAATCATTTTTGACTTCTTTAGGATTGATAAGGTCATTCTTTCCCTTTGGAGGTACATTTGCTTGACAGTACAGGACAGCCACATCATATTCAATGTCATTATTGATAGACTGAAGGGCGCTTATACTGTTCTGAAGGTGAATGTCAAAGTCTGAATTCCTATCATCCGGCATGATAGCTAAAAGAAAAAAATGTAATTTATGAAAATAAATATAATTATAATAAAATATGTTACATTTATGTAAAGTACAGCCAAACAAATATAGAGCTTTGAAATATTTATCAGGATGTTTTTTCCTCAGTGATGAAACAAAAGGCTAGAAATTTGCAACATTATAAATGTTTACTTAAATAAGTATACAAATTTTATCATGTTACATAGCAATACCATTTAAATATTCTAGATTTTATAAATCTTTCCAGGAAAAGATCACTTTCATAAAATGAGCATACAATTACACTCTATTTTTCATGTACTCCTAACTTAAGTTATTTTTTCTCAACATACCTAATAGCTGTGTCATAGCAACAGTATGGAAATTCTCTGTGCACTGCAGAAAAGGAGCGTTCATGTTCTTTCCTTTTTTGATAATGGATGCTTTGAAGAGATATGGGTTCCTGAAGCTGTCAGACTGCAAGTAAAATTGACATTATCGATTCCATTGCATTTTTGTATCACCCCCATGGCACGAGAAAAAAAAATTAGAGAGCTTAATTCAAGGAAAACAGTATTTTTTTAAACAGAACTTTGTCTGGGCAATTTAAAACAGGAGAGAGAGATATTTGAAAGTTTAAAGGGATGAAAACAATGGGGGGAAAGTTTATTGTATACAATGTGTGTTTACAGTATATGTTTTCGACTATGAGCAAAAATCAGGCTTCTGCTTGTCGTTTTCAGAATATTCGTTCTTTTTAATTCTGTAATATTAATAAATGATTTACCCCTTTTGCAATACAATCTGGGCAAGGGATATAATAATCATAGGTTACTCCATGATACGATTCCGTGATCAGGCTCTCTAATACTTCGTGAATCAGGAATAAAACGTTCTCTGGACGCGGGCCTTGGACGGTTACGGTCAGCTGACGCTCACTGCAAAATAAAATCATTTCAAGAATTGACGGACAAATTGAACAAATATGACATATTTGAAATTGAACCTTGGAATATAAAGCACCTTCATTAGGATTTCTGTCATTTGCATAAAATTAACAAATCTGTTTTCCCTACAATCTACTTGTATAATAATTCTTTATAAAATTTTGTAATTACAATAATTCTTTTTGCATACCTGTTTTGTTGGATCAGAGCCAAGTGCTGATTCTTTTGTAAGTAGGAGCCCTTTTTCCAGATCATCTTTCCATCAGAAAAATTAAACAATCGAACCTGTAAATATTTCGTAAAACAAATATACGTCAACTTTTCAATTAGCAAATACTTTTACCTGAACTCATTTTAGAAGTTTCTGTTTCGCCACATTGATTATATCATGAAGGGAATATTAAAAATTATTTTTAAAAAAAATCAAATTAAGCAGGAAAAAAGTAAATGTGGAAAGGCATATTCGCACATGTACAAGTTGTATAACAATATATATTTCCTTTTATTTTGTGAACTTATGCTTCTTTAAACTTTGATGTAGATAAATTGAAATTGTAGATAAAGTAACTTAAATTGACTTTTGTGTGTATATGTAAATCAAGTGTGTAATAATATCTTTCACAAATGTTTGATTTAAAAGATTAAATTCTTAATGACCTGAAGTCTGTTGAAAAGACCTCCCGGAAGGTAGACAAATTTATACATGATTTTATTTTCACTGATGCCATCAGATGAAAGTGGATCAAGATCAGGCCAACGAAACTGCAAAGAGACACAAAATACACCACCCCTTATCTATGGTAAGTATTAAGCAAAATTTGTTACACTATATACGTTTTAGATATTAGTGTCTATTTCTTTCAGTGTAATAATCAATAACTACTTTTCTCATTGAAAATACTGTCAAAACAAGGAATTAAATTTTCGTTCATTTTAGTACTGTTTATCTTTTACATTGTGAAAATGTGTATTTTTTTCATTGAAAAAAATGCTTAAAAATAAGAAACTTTGCTATTGTGTGAATATTTAAAGTAGACTTTGATCAAAAATCACCTCTTCTGGTGGCTCTATTGGAAGAAGACATGGTACTATATTTAGAGGTTGCCCCGGAAGAGGAAAGGTCAAGTCAAATTCTTCTGTAAGACTCAGCAACCAAGGTCGAAGTTTAGCATCATATTTATCCCACACAACATCTAGTTGAGAATGCTCGAACCGACCATCGTTTTTCTAAAAGCATATATTAAAACGTATAAAATTATATTGAGTTAACCAGTCTTCCCTGCAACATCAAGATAAATGACATCAAGCAATAAAATGTCCTTTATTTCTTATAACGTCTTTATATTTACTTGTATGGCAGAGGCTCTGACAGATACCACACACGCCATGACCTTGACAATCCACTGAGGGTCAACGACCACCTTGTCTCTCAGGAAGTCTGTATCAAAGTACTGAACGGTCCCAAGGTTATCAAGAAAGGAAATAGCTTCCTTAAGCTAAAAAGCGGAGGAGATAGATTTATTGACAAGTAAATATGGCTATCAATAGATCTAGCTGGGGAAAAACTTCAGTATTGCCATTATATTTATTAAAATTACTTGATAGCTGAATTCAACAAATTAAATCTTTTTCTTCTGTTATTAATGATAAATTAAAACGTACATCTTGTTCGTGGTAGATTCCTTCATCTCTTGCTATCTGCTCAACTTGACTCCAGTCCAAAATACTGCTATCTTTCCGCATTCTATAAAAAAGTATCAGTTTACAATAACTTCTTGTAAAGATAAAATATTAATTTCGCCAGATTTGTATAATTGAATCTTGAGTACAAATTTTTAAAATTCACAAATTTGGAAGCTCAAATTTTAATACTGTATCGTTTATTTTACTTTGAGGATGTTGGTCTTATAAACTTGCAAAACAAAAGTGTATGAAAATTGAATTTGAATTGCATCTAAATGGTATGGAAATACATGTAAATAAATTTCCTTATTTATTTACTTAACTACTTACTTTAACATTTTGTCTTCCAAGTTTAACCAGACTTGAGGGATTTTTTCTTCCAAATAAGGTTGCTGTAAAGTTATTTCTATCAACTGTTCCTCTAGTTCTTTTATGCCCTGCACAAAAGTAGAATGTAAAGAACGCTGTTTTAAAAATACTAAAGTTACATTCTGTTAACGTAGACAACTCTTAAAAGACGTTCATTATTGATTGATAAATTCATAAACTTGAATATTTTCGGATCTTTTTTGATGGTCCTACTTACCGTTCCTTGGATTGAGCTAACATAATGAAATCCCTGGATTTGAGGGTAAGAGTTCTTTATTACCTTCTCTTCAATTTCGGGTTTTGGAATCTATAATTTATATTTTTATAAATATTATTTTAAAATTCAAACCGTTACAACCATCAAATGACCACAGTTCATGTGTAATTCTGGACATATTTCAATTAAGACTCTTTAAAAAGAATCATTTCATGTAGAAAATGTACCGTTCAAAATTTAAAATATATGAAAATATATTACAAAATTTTAAACATTAAAATTGTTGCCATATTGATATTTTTTTTTGATTTCATATTACCATTTTTTAGCCCTTTAAGTTAATTAAAGACTGCTTCAGTGTTCCTAAATGAAAGGGGGTGTTTTGTTGGTTAACTTTCTCTATATACATCACCTGGTCTGCCTGTGTTCCTATGATAAGAACTGGTGCATCTGGAGCGTGACATGCTATAGAACTTAACCAGAAATCCAGACCAGCATGTTGAAATCCCATCCTCATGTTCCAGAGTAAGAGATAGACGGCTCGAGAGGTCAGGAAAAACTACAAAAAATTGAATTTCAATAAAAATGTAAACCCAATACCTGCACCTTCTTCAAGATGATAAAATAAAATTATTCATATATATGCTAAAACATTAGATCAAGCATATAGTTCATATATACCAAATTGCACAATTAGAAATCTAGTAATGTTTGGTCAATTATTTTAGTCTATATATTTTCTATAGCTAGCTTCTGAAGATATCATATTAATAAACTAGATGACTCGCGTTATTTGGTACACGCAAATAAAATTTTGAAGATAAGTTTTGACTCTGAATTTCCTTAAGGAAAATCTCAAACATTCTATCGTTGGGGAGAGTTCCTGTTAAAGAAAAATTCTTATATGTAATGGAATGAGCAAGTTATAGTCTATACCATTTAAAGATCGATTACCTGGTGAGTATTATAGTAGACAGACTGTCCAGCGAAATCCCAGGCTGAGTAGACGATCTCTCCTTTGTCTGGTACCTTGACTTTCCATGACTTGATGTCAATACCGTCAGTCAACAGAGCGTTTTGGGTACCGCTTGTTTTCTTGGAGGTACTGGTCAACGCTTTCAGTAAACTAAGAAAATAGTTAACATTTCATTTTTATGAAAAACATCTTTGAGAATATTCATTATTTTTTTTTCAAATTCTTAATAATACTCTGGGTTTGCTGCAATTATTTCTTAAACTACATATAGTATCCATTCGGCTTCCTATGAGATTGTAAACGCTAAGGATCATTTTCAGGTCCAATGACTCATTGATATTGATTTTTTTTCTACGGTTTTACGCATGTTCAATGATAGTTTTATCAAATTTTGCAAATAGAGGCAAGCTAAAATTGTACACATTTAAATTAAACATTTATTTTGCAAAATAACTATCTGATCAGATCAGAATTAATTTTTATAAAGAAGAAAAGGGTGACGTTGATAAGAACTAATTGCATGTTGGAAATGCAATGTACAGGAGGGCTTGTGTAACTCTAATTGTAAACTAGTGCATACTAGTATATCAGGTATATATTGGTTGTTTCTGAAGCTTAACAACTGTCGATGACATCATTATAATGGTATGCATTATGTATAGAAATTTTAAGCGATAGTGTTTAATTTTTGAAGATTAAGAAAATACCTTATAACAAGATTTTTGCCGCTGAAACATAACTGAAATATTGCCATATTGGCGTTCAACACAAAACAATCAATATTATATGTACCTGGTTTTACCGGCATCTCCCACCCCAACAAACATGAGTTTTGTTCTCCTGCAGGTGGTAAAACCGCCATCTAATCTCTTCAGGTAAGCCTTTACTGATTCAAAACCTCGACTCACCACCTCATGAGGAGGGGTTCTTAAGGAGGGGCAATGTTGCAGATTGATATCTGTAAATTGGAACAAAAACGACATGCAATTTTATTTAAATAATCTGTTATAATTTTGTAAGATGATATACCGTAAATCTGGAAATTTTAACGTCGATTTTATTTTGCGAATTCGGGAAAAAATGGTGTTGATTATTTTTTACGTTTCAAAATTTTGCGAATTACCACTCCTTTGTTTACAATTTCTTATTGGTAATTTATTTTTAAGAAAAATATTTTTGCGAATGCAAAGAACTCGCACATTTGCTAAAAATTTATCTACAGCAAAAATTTCCAGATTTACGGTACAACTTTCAAAGATGAAAATTTTTTGGCTACAGACATACAGTATACATGTATTGGCATGTGTACATGTATCTTACAAAATATGTTGAACATTAAGTTCAGCACTATGGGGTCTTCAAACGCTGTAATATTTTAACTATACATCTTTTGGGAAATTAGCATTTGAAAGACCTCTTAATCTCTTTAGGCAAAGATCTTCCATAAAGCATATAATTTTCATCATGCAAAATATATTATATAAAGGTGCCTTACTTTTAAGATTGATCATAAATCCTAATTTTGCTGACAATGTCTCCAATAAAGGGCAATGCTGGAGATCCACAACTTCGAGATGAGTTAAGGCCTTCAGATCTGATGGGATCAGAGTGATTCCCTGATATCCAAAATAGAGTTCCTTCAGTTGGGTCAATTTGAATATGACATCCGGCCAGCCTCCATATTTCTCATTGAATCCTACGTACAGACAGAATTGAAAGTAAGTTTATTATCATTTTTGATTAACACTCAAAACAACCATATAGTAAAAGCAAATGTAAAAAAATTGTACCAATTAAATGAATTTCGAAATTTGAAAGAATTGAAAGTAAGTGTTTATTATCATTTTTAATTAACACTCAAAACGACCATACAGTAAAAGCAAATGTAAGTAAATTGCACCAATTAAATGAATTTCGAAATTTGGCTTTCGTTGTTAGGATTAAATATTTTGCAGCATAATAAATTTAAATAATACTTCTGTCCCGTACCATCAGTTCCAAATCTAGGGAGAAGGAAGAAGAGCTTGAGGTTAAGCTGCGCAATCTCCGATACGTCCAAACTTCCTCTTCTTTTTCTGTCCACTTCGTCAAATAGAGCATCTACTTTCTATTTTGAGATAGAATGGATACTTATTAAATGTCTCGTATTTTTTTTTTACCAAAGGTACAGTGTTATTTTAAGACAATCAATTTGATTGCAAATTTGTTTACTCCAATAGATTTTTGATAAAGTTGAGTGAATTTTATAGATATTTTTTGCATAAGCCGAAGTAAACTTTATTATCAAAGTCGTTATTTTAACATGCCGATATCAAGGAAATCAAAGTTTTAAAGATATTTTGAAATTTAAATCTCAGTGAAGATTTGCAATTCACATTAAGTCAAGTAAAGATAATTTTCCTTATTTATTATAAAATCTCAAGATTCAAGCTTACCTCGGTGGTCAAAAAATTTACAATTGCTGGATTTTCTTTATGCCAAGCCTTGTATTGCTGTCTGGTTAAACTTTCTACTTCTCCATTGAAATTCATCAGTGGAAATCCTATAAAAATATTGCATTATAAAATATTCTTTTTGTCTCACTTAAATTAAATCTTTTAAACATGTTTTTTTCCATGCTTTCATTTGGGTACTTGAAAAAAATAAATCAAAATCGTTGAATTGCAGAAAAGTCAACTTGCCCTCACAAGGGGCAAAAAACCGTTAAGTTTATTATATTTATAAGAAAAATTCTTGGTATATATTTTATGAAGTAAAGTGTTCAAAAGAGTACAGGGATACGTATCAGTCAAAAATAGTTGACATAAAATTAGAATAACATGCAGTTTTTGGTGAAAAAATGTACCTTTTATGGAAAGTACCCTGAGCTTCTTCAACTCTTTTAAAGCGATAGGAAGCCTTTTTAGAGGATTATGATCAATACTTAGTTCTTCTAACAACGTCAAATTCTTGATATCGCTCGGTAATTCTTCCAACTTGATGTCATTCAGGATTAATTTTGTTAGCACATAGGGTTTTGAGAACCGCTGCATAATGTTCTTTATTTTTACCAAAGGAATTCCCTGGAAACGAGCCTCCTTAAGTTTCTCCGCTCGAAGAATGTCAGAAGGTAATTCTGTAACATTGACATTGCCGATATTGACGTATCTCAATTCCTTCAAGGTTCCACTGTTGCCGGGAAGAGGGTGTTTGTCTTTTAGAGAACACCTAGTTAGGGAGAAATTTTCTAAATTTGGCAGTTTCTCGAAAAAATCTCCAGGAAAGTTCACTTTTTTGGTAAGGCCCAAATCAATTGAATTGACGTTTTCCATATACGGCTGAAAAAAGTCATAAGTGATATCCAATTCACTTTCAAGATCATAGTCTGAAGTTGCCATGGAAAGTTTGTGAGCTTTACAGATACACAAAACACCTTCTTGAATAAGATTGTTTTGTTCGGTGATTGGATTTCCCTTGTATTTTATCAATGGTTGACATTGACCTTCAATAAGTTGGAGGATGGATTTTGTTCCTGAGACTGGATTGCTCTGGTTCTGAAGACCACCATACTGGGCTGCAAACAGGCTGCTTAAGGTAGCAAATTGGTGGACTACCTCAAACATCAAATGTTCAATCTGAAGAAAATTTTTTAAAAAACCAATAATTTTTAAGAATTAAAAAAAAAAACTTAATAAGAGAGCATATAATAAAAATCTCAAATCATGATCTGAAATTTATACATCCCAGACTCTTAATAGTTGCATACCTTAACCGTTTTAAGAATTATTTCATAATATTAAATAGAGATTCGAAAATTCAAAAGAAATATTTTTATAACATTATAAGTTTGACGAAGTCAGTATAAAATATAATTTCCATACCTCTGTTCTTGAAAATGTTTCAAGGTCCTTTTCAGGCAAAATGGATTGATGAGACGGAAGAAGAAGCTATAAATAGAAATTACCACAAATTCCAGCAGATATTTGTATTTCAAAAATTGAAATATTTCTTACTTGAAATGAATAATAAACTTTGTTTATCTGATATATTAGCTCCAAGATAGGAATCAAAGGCTTTTACAATAGTAACACGTTTTGGCCTATAGCAATGTCCTCAATGTTCTCTTTATTTATCCTATCTTACCTGCTTTGCTATGAGAGCTATATAAACCCATCCTTGAAATTTGCAAGCAAATGTGACATCAAGGGGAACGTTTGATTTTGGAGTCAAGGCATGCATATCCATGAAATGCAGGGGGTTTCTTAAATGAATCTTTTTCTGTTGTTGGTAGTTAAGCAGCTGATCTGCAAAATAAGTTTTACATGTAGTTTTCTATTATTATTTTAGTTTATCCATATTTTAATTTTATCATATTTATATTTTTTCTTATTTAAAACACATACTATAAAATTAATGATATCTTACTACAAAAGAAATATAACAAACCATTCGGTTTCTCAATATATGCAGTCATATGCTGTTTAAGATAGAATCGTAGGTTGATCTTGCTCTACGCATGTGTAAATTCGTGAGTGAATTTTTAATCTTTTCCACATTCTATACCAAACCTGCATAAAAACACAATCTGTGGACGTTTAGATCAACAAACATTCCCAAACTTGGATAAAGGAAAACATTCGTGTTCAGAGTTTTTGGTAGAAACGCAAATGTGTCCTCTACAGATCCATTGGCTCCATAGCCATCCAACCAACCAATCAAATTTCTGCTTTGCATCACCATCATCTGCTCCTGAACTGCAATTCGTTAAAAGCATTTATATAAACATGCTTTTAAAAAAATCCATTAAGTAGTTTATTTACATGTAGTAGTCATAACAATTCAATACATGGAAATTATAATATTTGTAAGAAACTAAATTCACAAAATTGTGCTTAAATGATGTACGTTGTGCATACAGAAAGAATATTGGTTTGATAATTTTCTTACATAATCTGCAATATGCATTGCGTTTTAAAGATTTTCTTCAGTAGGAAAAAAAAGAGATTGCGGTAAGCAATGTTGGCTTGTTTTGCATTTAATAATAAAAATTATAAAGAAATATACTATGAAAAGCCAACCTGATTTTACCAGTAAGTCTACTGATTTTACCTGTAAGTCTATTGATTTTACCTGTACGTTTATTGATTTTACCTGTAAGTCTATTGATATCAGTTAAACATGTGGCTGCTTGGTTCAGAAGTGTTGATATCCAATTACTGTCTGTTAATTTCAGGACATTCGCACACTCCTGGAGAAAAATAAATTAAAACATGTCAATTTCAGGACATTTGCACAACCCTAGAGAAAAAAAAATTAAAACATGTCGATTTCAGAACATTTCCACACTCCTAGAGAAAAACAAATTAATTTAAACATGTATTCAACATGCAATTGGAAAATAACAATCGCATCGAATTAGCGTATTTCAAAGTATAAACATTTCAAAAAAAATATAATGACTTAAAATATAGCTTGTCATCGTTTTAACACAATTAATGTTAATTAATGTTAATTAATTACCTCAGGCACAAGATAAGGAGGCGCATACACGAATGACTGGGAAAGGGACTTCTGAGAGGCTGACATGAAGGAAAAATCACATTAAAGTAAAGATGTAAAAGAAGTAAAAAAAATTAGAAAAATATTAGGCACAAAATCTATATGTTTAAAAACATAACGTCAAATATTGAAAAAAAAGAATAACCCCATTCTTATTAAATATGTTTATGTACATTACACTGTAATACTATAAAAATATTGCGCCGAAAATTGCACCTTTTTTGCATTACAGGATCTGTAGCGTTATGGTCAAAGACAAATAAATAAAACCGTAACGCTACAGATCTGCAGCTAAAACCAACACTTAACATTATTTTCTGTATAACAAACATGTATATCAATAAATCAAGGCCAGTACACTTTTCGTACATATTAACATTTTTGTAAAAAATAACTTGTATCTTTTATGTCACTTAAATGTAAAGCAAATTAACAGATCATGTGTACATACCATCATTTCTATACATTAAGACTGGATCGCCTTCTTTGTATCCCTTTACTTCCATTATACTGTGGTCCCCAGTGATGACCTCATTATCCCTGTCACCTTCTGGTGAATACTCCAACTGATATTTCCCTGAATGTTCCACTCCAATAATCACAGCTTCTGCTACAGAACTGTCCAAAGGAATTATAGTTTGTTTTTTTTTAAAAGTACCTTCCCAAAATTTCAAAAGGAAATAAATTCTTCATTTACCAAATTTAAACCAGATTTATCAGTACATGTATAACATGTGCATTTACATGTATATGCAAAATTATTAGGTCCGTCATGGATACGCAGGAAAAGGGAAAGTTTTTATTATATTTTGTAACATGTACTAAGAAATTGACCTGTATATTTTCTTACTTGTTTGGCAGAGCGATGAAGACTTTCATGCCTTTTTCAAGTTGTTCAGGAAAATTTAAACTCTGTAAAACAACACATATTTTATATATTAAATGTATATAATATTTCTCCACGATGTATTTATAATCAATACTTATTTATATTATTTATGTTATATTGTTAACTTACTGGGCACTTTGGGTATCTGATAGCGTACTGCCCATAGTCAAACGGTAGGGTAAGACAGTAGTTGTCTGGAGTTATCCAATATTGCTCAATCATTTCAGCGTTTTTGAAAATTTCGAGCACATAATCCTATATAAAATAGAAAAAATACAACGGTTATAAAAAAGCGGAACAAAACCCAATTACTTTCAGTTTTGAAATTCCAATGTTGTATTTTTTTATACAGATTATTTCACTAAATGTCATCATGATCATGTTAGTAATACTCAGTTTAATATTTTTACATGAAATTTAATAGCAAACACAAGTTTGCATTACCTCAAATTGAATGACACATATACATCTATAGCTACCAACGTTTGCCTTTTATAAAGAAGTATGTTTTTTTAAGACTTTCCTTAAACCATGAAATTGAACATTTATGTTTGTCACTTAAATCATTTAAAAAACAGTTAAACTGTCTTCAAAAAGTATCCTCAGTGTCCGTCTTTAATTGCCTGTTTAAGTTTTTTTTTTGTTTGACTTTTGTCTGTTTTGTTCTTTCTTGTGACATATAAAGTTGTGTGAACCCATTTGTGACATATCAAGTTGTGTGAGCCCATTTGCTGATCAAGCCAGAAAAAGTGTAAGGAAATACCTTTCTCTTTTCTCCTTTTACAACTCTGCTTAGCCCTCTGTTGTAATCTGTGTGTTTCATGATTGCACTTAGTCTAATAAAAATAAACAACAACAATATAGGTCGACCCACACCACTGAAATTCCATATATTTGAACAGACAAGAAGATATCTTTGCTGAGAATGTCCTTATGCCATTAATTATGTTGTAAACATATTAAGATTTGAAAATTACAAAAGAGGTATATATAATATTAAAATATATATATATATATAACTTGTTTCTAAAAATCTTTTTTTGAAAATCAAATTTAATAAATTGAAACATTGTTTTAGAAAATTACCAAACAATTGCTGGTTGGGCTCAGAATTGATATAACCAAAATTCTCTGCAGAGACGGTAGCTCTACTGGCTTGAACTTATATTCAATGTAAGAAATGGTGCATTTTGGTTTTGTGCCAGCAATTGAAAATGATCTTCGTTTTAGTCACTTTTTGTGTCGAAATTTTTTGCAAAAGTAGCAAATCCTAACAGGATTTCATAGAATGCTCAATGTAAGCAATCATTAATTGCAGCGTAATTCATCAAAATAAAAACTAGAATTGTACCTGTAGACATGGCATTTTCCTTTCAAAGACTTCTTTAAGTCTTCGTCAGGGTAGGTTTTATTTTTCTGTAGTTCTATCCACTCTATGGTGATATCAGATAACTTCGATATCTGTTGTTCTGTGAAAAAAAATTAAACGCTCTACATAAACATGTGTTAAAAGAGTTAAAAAAATATGAATATTTATTTCCTTTGACCCACAAAACTATTATAAGCCTCATAATTGTTTTTTTAAATATCAAAAATAAAATAATAAAAAAAATGCAATTGGATCTTCTATTCTTTTGTTAATATATTTCATTTTTTTATAGAGTCTGAGAGAGATAGAGAAAGAAGGTAAGAGAGGGGAGAGCAAGAAGTTTTAAGTGTATAAATGTACAGGCGTGTTTCAGACTTTTACAGTAGAACCTCACCTGCATGGCACATGATAACCTTTGTATCATTAGCCTCTATAATTCCTGTACTGCAGTCCTCTCCTCCGTCCGCGTCTCTGGCTTTGAATATCCTGGCTGGCTCAAACTAATAAATTCGTATTTTAAAATTTAAAAACGAATTTATATGGCATGCATCAATAATACATAATTATTATTCTTCAAAATAACTTAATGAGGTGATAAAAAAAAACTTTTTATAAATAAAATTCTTTTTAAGGCATGGGAAATAATTAAAACGCATTTAAACGATTTTTTTCGAGGAAAATCTTGTGCTAAAAGGCACAAGAATTTTAAATTTCTATATTGATTTTTAATTTGGGAGGGGGAAGGCATTTTTACAAACTGAAAATGTTTCTTTCATCCTTTTCCGTTTTGTTGAAATGCACTAGATAATTCACTTTTATAAAGATATTAATGAAAAGGTTTCTATGCATTTTTCTTTTAAATACATAATATCAGACATATTTGAAGTGTGATCAACTTAATGTAATTTACAATATTATATGCACATTATTATTACCTTATACCCAAGTGGCGTTTTAGTTGTGTTGTGCAAAATAATTTGCCCTGAACAAAGGGCATAGAAGAGCCTTGATAGAATGATTGTCTTAGGTGGGCTAAAACAAAAAAAACACTCATTTTTGAAATTAAGTTTACACATACAGCATCATTTTAAAGCTAAATATATTTATTCCAATTCACATTTTTAAGAAATATTATTAGAGTAAACAGGGTTAATAACGCCCCTTCTTGTTTGTGCTCATCAAGTTATCAATAATCTCATGCTGATGCAACACAGATAGACAAGAAGCAGATAATCAGCCATTAATGTATGTGAGCTACCAGGTATATAAAGATTGAATAAAACATTACAGTTTTTCTTTAGATTTTTAAAGTAGCCATTGCAGGCTTTTAGTAAAGCTCTTTATAATTACCTTATTATTAATCCTTCAACCTCTGTGAAGTCTATGCTTTTGGGGATTTCTTTTCTCTGAAACATGATCCAATACTACCATTTTTTTTTAATTTTATTTCAGTAACAGTATCATGCATATTATGTTTAAATCAAAGCTTTATTCAACATTTCAAACCGTATAAGTGGAAATTTTAGCGAGACACAAATTAAGGGATTTCCCCTTAAAACTGGTGTTTTTTTTTAACAAGAAGTAATTTTAGCAATTACAAAATGCTCACTTAAGAAGCTAGTACAAAGAAAACGCAATAAATATTTAGCAATATTCAATCTTAGAGATGTCAACTGCTCGCTGATAATTCCAAATTTAAATCTTCGCTAAAATTCTACTTAAACGGTTTCTAACGATTCTCTATATGGACAACAAAGCAATTAATAAGAGGTTTTATCTTAGGCCATCTTCAGAAGAATGTTTGCTTGCCCTCTCCCGAATCAGCTTAAGGGTTAAATATTAGGCCTGTAGCTCGGCGTGATTTTTTTTTCAGAAATTTTCAAAATATCGTGTTGCCTGGATAGGAAGAATAATTTATAAAAAAAAAAATAATAATATCGTATCCTAGAATGTTAAGAAAGTTTAAATCTAGGGAGGGGGCATTTTACTTCAAGGAAGAGGGTAACCAAACATTTTTTTTAAATGATGGTCTTACCGCATTTGGATCCAAAGGGGTCCAGGGCTCAATCTCTAGAAGCTTGACACACTCAAATTCAGAATGAAGGCCTATCATTGGATAAAAATCGGGTAGTTTTCCATTTCCTGGCACCGTCATTTTATGTACATGTACCTTAAAACATTGTGAAGTTTTAAAGAACCATGTCTATATCAGTTCTACGATATATTCGGACTTATTTGTGTCTTTGATAAGCAGTATCTTTTATGCACCTTTTCAATTTTATTGCTAAAAAGGCTAAAAAGTACTCAAAAACCGACCTCTTGATCATTCTTGAAAAACTTCAGTTCGCTACTCTTGACATCAAATTCCACTGCCATGACGTCTCCATCACTACATTTCTCAACTTTTGTCTGGGAACTCCCCTTTTCAATGAAGATTCTGCAATAGAAATGTATTAAATGATTTTGGATATGTTTATAAATTTAGAGATTTGTTTCACAAATATGCATGATATTTGTAAATAATTTTTACCAATAGTATAAAGTGAAAATTTCCATATCTAGAAACAAATGTTTAAAAAATCCATTGTTCATAAGAAAGATTTATTTTTGTCACATAATTTAAGAAAATAATAAGTGTTATTCTTAAACAAACCTTGACATTCTTGTTCAGAAATTTTTTAAATTCTTACCCTCCGTCGTCTGCATGGTATCCAAAAGATTTACTCTTCCATCCGGGCATATTATTACTAGCATACATTCTGGGACACATCCCTACTCCAATACAGTTCTTAGATCCGCCACAAAGAATCTCTGAAAAGTCAATGCTTTTTAATTGAGTGATCTTACACAAGTGCGCTATCTGGTTTCAATGATTTAAAGACCTATGCTCATGTGACAATACTCTCTTATATTTGAAACAAGAAGTTATTTCATTTCAAAATATTTTTTTCTGTATTCAAAAATTAGGTAAACTTTTACTTATGGAAAATCTTTTTAAGGCCTCCGAAAATGGCTTTGGTGCAACAAACTGAGCAACAGGTTTAGATCCAGTCTTGTAGCTGTTCAAGAGAAACAAAATAGTATTTCTATGGCAAAACAAAGTACGGATACTCTGGAGTTATTTTTTAGATAATGATAATTTTAAGGAAAGAAAAATTGTTAAGTTATATACGCTCCCAGCACAATACACTTTCATTAAATCATTCAGATTATCAGGTTACCATAATTTTATTCAAAACTGGTAGGGAAATTGCTCTTTTATTTAATATTTATAAGTCAAATTAAGTATAAATATGTTACTGTTTTGTTTATTGAAAAGAAATATATTGTCAATGCGTGCTTTCCAATTATATTCAAGATCTTCTCATTCAGTAGACGGACGGATTTTGCTTCATTTTGAGAATAATTTCTCATATCTGTCAAGTTTACAATACTGTTAAATCATTTATTTTCAGGGGGAATTTTCATTATTTTCGAGGTATGGAGACACTCTCGAATCTATATCGATCTCTAAATGTAAAGTTTCATAGGTATTACTACTCCATGTTTCTCCAACATCAAAATCAAATCCCTACGAACAAATATTTCTTTTTAAAAAAATGACCCCAGGAAAATAAATGATTCTACAGTATATCATAAAGCCACGAGGAATGGAAAAAAGTTGCTGTAAGTGTTAATATCTATAAGCTTTTTTTTCAAAACCATGTTTAACTGTATTACAACAAAAATATGTCTATTCAATTATTTTGTTGACTTTATAAATTTTTAATCCTTTACCAAACAACGCCTGCCTCCTGTAGAACCAGTGCTTCTTTACAGATATCCGTGTAATACTGAACAAATGCTGGTGTCACTCCTGCTGTATTGCTTTTATCTGCAGTGCTAGATATATATCCCTACAAAAGTTTGTAAACAATTAATAATTAAACTTAAGCAAGCATACATGTTACAAATAAAAAGAGAAAATTTGACTGTGAAAGATTACAGGACCAATTGGGAGTGTGAATTGTCCAAATATAAGATTTTTAAATACATTTATCTAAAAGTGCTAATGAAGAGTCTTTTGATGACGATTTTTAAAATTCATAGGTTATTCTATCATCGTTCAAGATATTCTGAAGAATCGTTTTATTTTCTAATATTAAACATGTAAAAAAAAAATGACGTTCATGACTGTAAAAAAATATATGCTTAAATTATCTGCACAGAAGAGAAAACATAAACCGAGATTCAGTAGGAGTTTTTACCTTTGGTGCTGAAAGTCGTATTTTCAGTCGATCACCCTCTCTTATACAAAGTCGTAAATCTAAAATATACATCAGGAATTTGGTGTTCAACTGTAGTATATTGTAAATATATCACATAACATGCAGCTCTATGGTGAAAAAATAAGATTTTTCTAATAACAAAATACTGTAGTCATAAAAGTAAATACTTTTTATCTATATTTAACTACCTTTGTTGTATTCCTGAGCTTGTCTGACGTCAGATAAACTAATTTTCCCGTCGCTGCTAAACGATCGAGATAGGCCTGGGGCAGCCATTATGGTACTTCTTTCAGAACTACAGGTTATTGTAAAAATATAACACAACATATATATTGCAAATTTACTTCTTGAATATTATATATTCAAAATCTTGAATATAGTACTTAATTTGAAAGGAAATCTATTTCCTTCTCTTTGTCTGAATCCTCCTAAGTTTTTTTTTAATGAATAATTAAATAAGGTGAAATTCAATTTTATATTGGTATATCAAAATTATATTTTACCTTATATAAAGATACGTAAAATTTCATTTTATCCAAAAACAGTCTGAGTATATCAATTATCAAATTGCATTCTTACTGATTAAATGACTATCTGGTGTCATTGATATTAATTAAGCCAGAGAGGTTTTTTTTAAAATAATTCTCTCCTTTTTAAAAATAATTTTATTTCTTGTAAATGTGAAAAAAAGAAAAAAAAATTAATACATCTATAGAAATTCTTCGTAAATTTCAAATAAATATACCTTAGACACATTGGAGGGCACATTCCAGATATCACATCAACCTCGATCTCATTAAAGGTCACTGGGTTCAAGGTCGCTCTGTAGATATCAGCGTTTGAGGTTATAGACATTGCCATTGGTCTTAATTCTGTCCTCAGATCCTATAGAAAGTCGAACTACATGTGCATGTGTATTGTATGAAATTCGTAACGTGAAATCATTTGTACTTACATAAGAATGAGTGTTAGTGTGAAATCAATATTTGATGGGAGGTTATCCAAGATTCAATAAAACGAAGCTATAAAAAGTTTATATATTAAAATCAATTGAGTGTTTTAAGCAAATTCCTTAAACCTTTTTCTCGCCAAAAGAGTAAAGACTTCACAGTATTTCTCATGCTAATTAATGCAAGAGAATCTTCACTGTATGTTTCATACTCTAAGATAATTTGAACATTAAATCCTTATTCAGAAATAATTATAAAGTATAAAGCTCTCAAGACAATACCCATAAACCTTTGGCACAGGTTACACATATCCCACAGTCCACACATCCAGGGGTAGTTGTCTTACACCCGCACTCCCTATGATCCGTGCCCATGATTCTGTTGTATGGACACTGTTCCCCTGACTCACAACATAAGTTACACAGAGTGCAAACCGACTGAATGTGGTCAGTGTCTGGAAGGGGACTCCAGTTATGGTTGCAGCCCAAAGAAGCATTCACTAGAAATGTAAAGAAATTGCAGCATATATAAATTGCAATAGCAAATGTCAAGAAGGTATTTTCGAGCTTAGCACTGGAAAATGTTATTTAAAAAAAAACGCTTCCCAAATGATATCAACAGCATAAATGAAACCAATAAACCAGATTTACTTAATGGCTCTACCTCATATTGACCGCATTCTAAACAAAGTTTTTTTTTTATTATTTTCTTTCCACAAGGCAATCTTTTAGCTCATTTGAAAAACAAATGCTTTAAAACGAAGCATATACACGTAACAAAACAATTAAAATTATTGGGGAAAATTAAAATACTATACCTTTTGTTCAACTTACCTGAATTAGGAGGGATATTCTGTGAGATAACTGCTACAATACCCTGCCTCTTGATAATACGATCTACGAGATCGGTCACAATAAAGAAGATATGCTTTGTGTATTCTCTGACGCTTTTCTCTGTATCTTCATTTACAGACTGCGTTCTCTTCTGTGGCAGAAAGCATCTACATTCAACCATCAGCATCTTGGTTCCTGTAAGTAAATTCCAGTGAAAACGATATATAATTATATGCAACAGTTAATCGTATAATCTCAAAATTCAAGTTAGGTTTCCAAACTATCATTTATTCATCAATAATGAGCTTTATAAATTGTTCACACATTCGCTTTGCTGATATTAGCATGCATATTTTTTTCTTTGATATACTATGGTCAGAATTAAGGATAGATGGATTTTAAGCTTTGTTTCTTATTTAGTAAAGACAATTCGTATTCAGTAAAATGACATAAGCGCGTAAATATATAATTAACGAACATTTTACAAGGTCAAGTCCAATACAAATTAGAAGCAGGACAAGCACAAATCTACGAAAAAATCAGAGGTGAGATCAGGTGCCATATTATACAGTATCATGCTTAGTTTATCTTGAATCTGATTTGTCGAGAAACATTCGTTGAAAATACTATTACCCGCTGAATAATAAAGCCACGCCTTCCAGTGTATCAAGAGTCAAGCTTGTTTTACAATGAGTTTTATTCCAAAAACACAATGACTGCGCAGAATTCATCCACACACGGTTAACTGTTTAACAATCAGTATAATATAATTGATATTGCATGTATCTATAGCTGAGTATAACATTGAAAAATTTCAATCCAAGAAAACTCTAATTAACTGAGGTGCATCCGACGTTGACAATGGTTTTCGAGATGTAAAACTTCTAAATGCACTCAACTACACTCAATATTTATATAATATTACCTATCTTTTAGTGCTATTAATTTTGTCAACTCTAATGTTTTTTTTAAAGATCCAGTACTTAGAATAATAAACAGAAAAGCAATACCATTTGTTGTTTCCTCTCTAACAATGACTTGGACAGCACCAAACAGGAATACTCCTCCTTCCTGTGAAAGGATTATGGGACGGCCGTAGCCAACAGTGGCAGCTAACACGAGGGGAAACAACTGGTGTGGATAAAAGGCAGGGAAACTGTATGTACTCTGGATCAGTATACAGTCTTTTACAGCTTTCTCCCTCGCTATAAATTCTCTCTGAAAGATGTTTTAAATTGTTATATGCAGAAACACTTATTTTTTAAACAAAACGAAACAATATTGTTTTGTAATCTATTGATTGTATATTGTTTAACACTTGATGTTTTTTTTATACCATATAAATTTAATTCCATCATATTACTTGCAAATTTTTTATCTCTACATCAAACTTCTATTGCTTATTGTTTACATTTTTATGTTGCATTAAAATAGGTGTGCATTGATATCTCACTTACAAATGTGAATTTGGGTGGATCTAAATTTCTCAAGAGTGCAAAGACCAATTTCTCATCTTTAATGCTAGTTCTCAACGTCACAGGAACTTTCATTAGACCTAAGTAATTCTGTAGGAAGATCAATATCAACTTCTCTTTTTCCTCATCCTGTAAAGAAACAATTTCTGTTCATCATATTTGTCATATCCAGAGAATATGTTTTATTACATCAATACATTTTAATGGCAAGTACGGTTTCATTCTTAAACTTACATTTCATCGGTAAAAGTAATCGTTTTAATTCATTATTATGCCAATTGAATAATTATTTTATTTTAAAAGTCGTTGGCACATTTAAGTTATCCTTTCCATACAGAACAAATACAGGGTCTAAAAATGCAAATAATACTATGTACGAGGGTTGTCCCAAAAAGTCGTAGACAGAGAAAACAGTTTAGTTTCTCATTGCTTAATAAAATTTCTTTCCTTGTCAAAGCTGAAAGTAATATTTTATGATCATGCATTTCAAGTTTCATGATGATATCACATCTAATAAGAAAATTATGTAAAAATGAAGAAAGAATGTAAGTGTACATCGCGCACGAAAGCAAACGTGAATTACGTCTCTTATAACGTCATGATCTCTTTGTCTGCTTCACTCGCATCTACTAACATTCAATATATATTTTTTAAAGTGATAGTCCTCTCTTGACTAGGAGACTTATTTAAATTCACTTCTGTCCGTTTGTTATTTTTAAGCAGATTCAAATTTCAGTAGAAATTTAGTCGAACGACCGCCTTATATTGTAGGCAGGAAAGAATACACATTGTTTGACGTCGTTCGCGTCCAGATTGTTTCCAATTGTCTGTGTTTAACAAACATTAGTCTACTTCTTACCTGCCGTAACTATTTTCGGTAGAGAGGAAAAAACTCTCATTGAATATCGTGCCATTTGAAAATAACCTCCCTATTAAAATCTGCTGGTGTGTAATGTCACTTCTGTACATTTTTTCGTCATCCTCAATTCCAACGATACTGTGAAAGCTATTTATTTAAAGCTAATTATATGAAATTTTGACATATTATTAAGATTTTGACTCTGACTTCAGTGGTGTAAATTCAGTGTATAACATAGTTCTAAAGGAATAAAAGCAAATGTAATAGTTATACGCGTAAATTATTCCGAATTTTGTTCGTGCGCCGACAGGCCTTATCGGCCTTCATATAAATCGTCCTAATATCATTAATATGAAAGACATAAATTTAAAAATTTAAAAATATATTATGTCTATGCAAAATTTGGTTAGTGTTAGTTGCACGTTAAAAAAAAATATAAACATTGTCTACGACTTTTTGGGACAACCCTCGTACATGTATAACATCGTGAAACAAACATAGAATAAAAAATTAAAAGACAAAGAGTCTTTTAATTGCCTCATTGATTTATATTATATCCCTTTATTATTAGTTTTTAGAAAGCGTACCTTCATGTCAGCTTTCCAAACGATGGACTTTTCTCCAAATGCTGTGATTCCTGTCTTTAGATTTTCAATTTTAGAAAAATTGATGAGTGACTCGACAGATTTCGCTGCAAACTCCAGGTCTACTGCCAACAGGCCACAATCGGTTTGTACACATATCAGATGTCCCTAAATACATAAAATGTAAGTCAGTAGTTCTTACTTAGATTTCTCTAAAGGAAGTACAGTATTCAAAATTACGACTTATACATTGAATTTAATTATACTGTATTGTAATTCAAAGATAAGTGTAATTATGTATGACAACATACACTGAAAATAAATAACAGTACCACATATACATATCATTTAAAAAAATATATAGCTATTTACCTGATGAAACATTCGTTCTACCAACTGCAGGAACATTTCTCCTGTCAAATAAGTTGGTGAAACATTTTTAATTCTCTCGTACAGAGTCGGACAGGAATGATCTTCAGACGTGCCATCCACAACTTGACAAATACCCCGAGATTTCAGTTCTTTTCTTGTACTCTCCACAACCTTAAGAAGAGTCTGTGGAAGTGAGTATATTGGCATCTGAAGGTCCGAATGAGACAGGAATTGGTTCAAAATGGTCTTCTTCATAGCTTCAACCCCCTATAAAGAAAGTAATAAAAAGGAATAAAGTTTTTCTGGAATGGATGTAACTTTAAGGAAATACACTTGAGCAGATCTAGAGTTATATTAAATAAAACAGTACATTTTGAACTAGTTTACAGTAAAATCGTCACCTATTTTAATTTTCTCAAAAAATAGTTAGACTACTGTTTATTTGAGTAGCAGTCCTTTAAATCAAAACAAGTCTCTTTGAAAAAGTACAAAGGGAATGGTTCATCTTTTTCATCTCTCAAAATAATAAAGAATATTTCTTTTGTTCATGTGTAAAGTCCAGAATAATGTACCTCTTTAGTAGACAATTTCAGAGACAAGAATTTAACCCTTTCGGGAGACTTGGAGAGGCGGTCAATGTTCTCCAATGCTCTATGTAGTTCTGACAACCTCTGCTGGTGCGCAAAACTTCCTACGTCTCTGTAAGATACAAAAACAATCATCATTGAAACAATTAATCATGGAGAACAAGAAAAATTTAAGTTACATTTAAACAAGTGGTTATTTGTTGAACATGTATTTATGTTAAGGGGTCGAAAGATGGTAAAAATTTTGCTTTCAATTAATGTTTAACAAAAGACTTCTGCTACGAAACAAACATGTTTTGGCCAAGTGAAAATGGGATAAGAAAAGACCAAAAAATGTAAAAGTTGAATTTATATAGCCATACATTTTTAATTTCACTTCATTTTCCATTTATCTATGTAAATTACACTAACCCCTCCAGTCTTTTCATGCTTTCTTTTAATGTTTGTATACAGGGCAGTTTGTCATGAGACATCTTGTTTTTGAGGGCTGAAGCGTTTCCACCACCAGACACATCCACTACGGAAAACTCACAGCCAGAAAACCTCGAAACACCAGAGGGCAAGTTCTTCTACAATATGAAACCAATAATTTTTAAGGACACTTGAAATTACTTTTTTTTTCTTTCACAATGTGTTTCTGTATTCGTGCACTAACAATCTTTTCATTTAGATGTCAAAGGTTTTTAACCCTTACCATACATCAAATTATGATACATTTTGAATAATATCTCTCTCAGTGTTTTTTAATCTAAAGTGGGAAAGAGGTTAGAATTTCTGACACATGTACAAAATAATTAGACCAACCCTTTGGCAACTTAACAACAAAATGAAATATTCTAAGGTCAAGAATTCAAAATCTTCCACCATGAGGGCATAAAATCTGATGGCAAAAAGAAAAAAAAACATAATTATTAATTTTATTTAGAATTACCTGGTCTTTTGGTTGAAATTCAGTCTTATTCCAATCTGTATCGGCGGTGAATCCACGGACTCTAAGAACGGCCGAATTTGAAGTTTGAAGGAAAAATGGGAATAAATGATCGGACCTGTACGGTAATTTCTGCCTATGAATCTGCAAAATAATTAACAAATATAATGAGTTTGTTTGTTGTATAATTTTCACTCACTTACCACTTGTAAACAATTTGTAGGCTTATCAAATGAAAGAGTATGTGATGCCTTGAAAATATGGTAGGACAAAATATGAAGAAAAAACAATCAGTAATAAAGCTGAAATGTTCACAGAAGCAATAAATATTGAAATACGAACAAATACGGATATCATGAGACTTCAGAATAATGAAGCACTTTTTATTTATCACAATTTTTTCAGTCATATCAGTTGCTTATATAATGATTAAACTTTGGTACTGATCTTTCTAAATAATATTTTAAAAACAAGAAATATTTTTCTCATCATATCAGTCAGGTTATGACGTCATTGTATTTAAGTGATATGACTCTCATACAATGGTCGACATAGTTTAAAATAATTTTTAATTCCCCTAAAATGAAATAACGTTCCCTTCATTTTGATGTAACTTCCAGATCATCTCCAAAATAATTCCAATATTCGAGATATAATTTGTGGAAACTGATGATTAGTTAAATATATGTATCTTACCTCTTTACAATTGATGGTGAAGAAAACCTCCACTTCAGAATTTTCGACAAGTCTTCCATCATCTCCAAATTTCCCTTCCAAGCCGCATCCAACTACATCACCGGTCTCGAGTTTCAAAGAATCCAAAGACTTTTGGGCATCCATATGGAACACCCTAAAAGACGAATATTCTTAATATCTAAATAACATGTTCCTTGTAATATATAGGATAAACAAATCAGGAACAATATATTCGTATCATCTCCGTCAACGCGCTCTCTTTCTCTCTTTTTAACCTTTTTTCCTTGATTTTAATCACCCTGTTATTAGTATCAATTGTACATTACGATTAGATTTTCATGTCAGGAAAATCAAATATATGTTTGGATTTATCATTCTTTAAAAATTGATATTGTATTAAAAAAAAAAAAAAAAAATTAGGTACATACATTATTGCACTTTTATTTTATATATTCGTAAATAATCTTATTTACATACATGAATGAACAAGTTTTCAAAAATTACAAGAACTTACATTTCAAATAAAACTTACTTTCCATTTCCAGCTGTGTTAATTGTGTAGAACATAATTTCATATCTCGACTTCCCTATGGTTTCTGAATTGTCTGGCATGTTATGTGTAAGGCCAAGTCCGATTTCTCCGTCTGTTCCACTGGCAACGATCTCCATCTCAAAGTAGGTCAACTGGGGATTAATTGGTGTTCTGGAGACCATATACGGACTCTTCCCATCATGTCTGTATGAAAAAATTCGTTGTTTTATTGAAAATTCATTTATATAATCTATTTTGCCTACCTGATCAAAACATGGCACGTACAAGATCATTTCTCTGGAGGTCAAAAAAGAGTAGGCTACTGGGGGGCGCAAGAGAAACTAAAAACTTTATTTAAAAAAAAAACGATTATTTAAACTGATAGTCCGCTGAAACATGGTTGAAAAATTGCCGACTCGGCGTTAAACAATATACAATCAATCAATCAAAACATTGGAGTCAGTTTTTATGACGGGTCACCGGGGTTCGCATATTCCTCATAACCACCTGATCCCACCTCCTCTGGAATATCCTAGGATCTCTCTTTTATGCTATCGCCCCATATTTGTTTTGTCTTTAGATTTTTTGATTGGAGTTCAAGTTTTTTTTAATCAAATTCATCTTACTAATGTATTAGTTTATTTAAAATACGTTAAAATTACAGTTTGAATTTTAGAGTCCTTTAATTAGATACCGCTAACGGTACATTGTTGATCTATGATTGTACATGTAGTGATATCATTTACTTTCAAGTAACAAGGTAAATAAACAATTGTTTAATGGTAGCTTTTCTGGGTTTTTTTAACGAAATGCCACAACTTTTTACATTATGTTCATTACTTCCTTTATTGAAAATTAAACAGGCAAGCAAGCTCGTCAGATAAAGATATAATATTGAAAATAGAAAATGCTGTTCAACCAACATAACCAGGTAAACAAAATTCAGAGTTATATCTACCAAATACTAGAAATATGTTCCAGTTCACTCGACAATACATTTATTTGTACGGTTTACATGCTATTGTAAATGTAACTTTAAGTATGTCTTACTTATTCAGAAGAACTCCATCATCGTAAATCTGCAATCCTCTTTGTATTGCTGGAATGATTTTGTTTAACTCTGTCACCTACAGTATAATAATCAATTGAAATTATAATGATGAACCATTATTTATATCCTGTTTATTACGTTTATACAGTCATATAATGTAGTTTCATCGCAAAAATATGCATTTGAAAGTTCAAATCAATGATGGAACGACAAATTAAATCCAGGTCATATCAAAGTTTACTTTATCTCAAACAACAAATTTTTCTGCGACTTTTTTTTTTTCATTGATTGATGCTACTTTAACCAATCACATTTAAAATTGTGGAAATATTTCAATAAGGCATTGATTTGCCTAGGTAAAATTATCAGGTATTAAAAGTACCATAATCTTTATTTTCAGAAACATTTGGATATTGAAAAATGTCAAAGTACTGGAAAATCATACATAGAATAATGACGGCTTTCAACTAAAGAAAATCAAGTCATAATAATACAGATCTAGAGGTAAGTTCTATGGATATAAAATTATGTGTTTGAAAATTTGATCGTTTCAATTATAAACATTCAAAAACATAGCAAGAGTGGTAATTATATCGTACTGATTTCTATGATAAAAATATTTTGTTGCATTCATGAGGAAATTTATTGGGAAAAATAATCTTGCCCGAAAAAACAAACAGAACTGCTTCAAATTGCATATATCAACT